AATGTAGAAAACAGTGAAGAACCTTGAACATTTAAAAAAAAGTGGGCTGAGCTGAGCGACTATATTGGGCAGATCGTGTCGACTCAATGGTCCAGCGAGGAGGTAATGTGGTCCGATGGGTCAGCAAGACAATAGAGGTTAACGTCCGATGAGACCAAAGAGCGAAACTGACAAAGAACAGGTCAGTACTGTTGGGTTCATCGCATTCATCCATACTCCTCCCATAGTTCAGGGGATTAGAAATCAAAACCACTCTATTGGCACATGGTTCTTAGCAGCAATTACCACTTTGAAAAAGCGCCAAGCCGTACTTACGGTAGAATTCCAGCGATCGAAGTATGCCGAATGTAGCCCCAGAGATCTTCTGACACCTCGTTATGCGAGGTGCCGTGGTAGTTTCGCCTCAAGTGCTAGTATCACCGGAATCAAATGGCCCATAATTAGTCCTCTCCTTGCTAAAATGCAACATGGAGGAGCTAAAATAACGCGCAGAGATAGAGGATAGAAATTATAAAATAAACACGACATTACACTTGGTAGCACGCTGAAATTCAAGTGACTCCTACCAAACGAGAAAAACGTGGGCGGCGATCTGCGGAAGGGATTCCCCGAACTAGAATCACCTGCGTGGAAATTCCTTTGACACATTCCAATGTGACATAATTATCGTAATCGCATGGTGATTCAAAGCTGATAACATGCCGACGGTCGGAGGCCCCTAAAGTACCAAAGCCCCAACAAATACGCACACACTTTATTCTCAACATACATATTTACGCATGGAGAACAGTAGATTATTTGTTTCGTATTCTTTTGCTAAATGAGGTTGTAAAATGGAATCTTTCCTATTTGGCCTTACCGTGGATTTTTCGCCTTTTTCAGAGATCTGTAGATGGCTTCAAGCTTCCAGCATCTTCAACACGTTGACTGCAGCTCGCATTTTGGTTTTTTTTTCACCGCGTGAAATCGGACTGTTTTTGGAATCGCTGTCGCCTCAAATCACATCCGTGGATTCTGAGCTGTAAATGCGCAATACTTGGACGCGATGCAATGTTTCCAATAAGATTAGATGTGATTAAGCTATCGAGAGGTGCAGTGGTAGGTGTCCGTCAAAATGACGGGTTGTGGCAATGAAAAGTCAAGATTCAGGAGCTTATTGGGCTACAGTGAGCCTCAAAGGTATTTTAAGCGCAGTTGTTGTGGTGAAAACATTTATCATGCCATACGTAT